CTTCATATTTTTGTGAAACCATGAATGAAAGCTGAAACTTTACCGACTTCCCTCAAGCTTAGCTTTATTTATTTCAAATCCATTCTAGTGCTCTAAAGGAAACTGTAAATAAATCAAGGAATAAAAAAACTCTCAACACGATCAATCCTTGTACTTCTCAACATCATCAGTCCAACACCGGGGTCAATATCTCATCTGCACACTTAAGTCTCGTGACATTTTGTTCTCTCCTCCTTTGTCGACCATCTCAGTGCAACGACCACAGTACCAAATAGTAAGCGTGTGTGTGTGTGTGTGTGTGTGTGTGTGTGTGTGTTTGTGTGTGTGTGTGTGTGTGTGTGTGTGTGTGTGTGTGTGTGTGTGTGGTAGAGGTGGCGGGTTACAGTTATAAATGGCCATCATTTCCCCAACCAGTTCGTCGTTCTCCATTGTGGAGCGGACGTCGCCGCGGGGCGTGAGAGAGGTGGTGTGTGTGTGTGTGTGTGTGTGTGTGTGTGTGTGTGTGTGTGTGTGTGTGTGTGTGTGTGTGTGTGCATGTGTGCGTGTGTGTTGGGGGTAATAGAGGAAGCAGAGGGGTCGGGAGTCCCGCGGGAATACGGTGACAGCAGAGAGTCACACCGGAAAGCTGCGATGACATCAGTGTGCGGAGATGAGAAGACAACTGAGTAAATTTACGAGGCGTTATTTCATTTCAGGCTGCCGTACAGGACTTTGGAGGTCAGGAGTCGGAACTTTTCACAGCCAAACAACTACTTTTATTCACCTTCATTTGACCTCATCTCACTCTGCCCACCTTCCCCCTTTTTATTTTTTCAGATAGCCTTGTGGGCTGTGTCATATGTCTTTTTTTTTATTTATGCCGCTGGCCACAAATGGCCCCTAGACCCTAATTTGGACATCCTGTTGTAACTCAATTTCTGCATGGCTGACAGAGCGTTTTATTTCTCTTTTGAATTCCATCCATATGCCGCCAACGGTCAGAAGTGACAAGTGCGGCAACCTGACGTGAAACGGCAGCGGTGCATACAAGAGCAAAACTAAAACGACTTTATCAATCCCATATTATCGCTGTTTGAATTGCTCCGCCCACCACGATTCAACACTTATTCCGATAGATGGTCAATCTAAGGCTGTGCCGTAATTCACAAGCTGCATCCTACGAAGGCCGCATTTTTCGGCCGTATGACGTCACTTCTGGCGCGGCTCGACCGCACGTGGTTTCCAAATTCTAGAAGGACGATTCCACAGCTGGGTCCTTCGCCGCCTTCAAAGGCTCCTCCTCATGTAGCCTCCGTGGATCGCATAGACCGTGGCGAATTTGCGACTAGCTTAAATGTGAATTTGGACGCCACGCACGGTCGAGTTGCACCGGACGTGATGTCATGTGGCCGAAAATGCGGCCTTCAGGGGGCCCAGCCTGTAAATTTGGACACAGCCTAAATGTATGCCGGTAGAACATACAGTGGCACCTCTAATTACAAAATTAATTGGTTCTGGAAGAGATTCTTAATGAGAAATGAATGATTTTTTTAAGTAGAGACGTGTTTTCCATGTAAATGCCCTAATCGGTTCCAAGCCCCCACCAAGTTCAGACATAAATGTTTTCTAAAGCATCAAAATGCATCAAAATATGTAACAAAAACATGTTACAATTAGATTATTGCACAATAAATGAAACTTGGGCATCATGTATATAACAAAGAATAGAGTAAAGAATAAAAATGATGGACATTTAATTTTTAACTGGGTCCTCATCGTCCTTTCGTATCTTGAAATTTCTTTCGTGACAAGAGGCAATATTTTCCTGTCGAGGTGTTTCGTAACTCGAAAATTTCGTATGAAGAGATGTTCGTAAGTAGAGGTACCACTGCACGAGTTCCTCACTGTAATGCGAGTGTGTGGAAACGGCAGTAAGGCACAAGTCATTATCTGCACCACATCATCACATTGATCAAAATCTTCCCTTGCATGTTTGTCTTTTTTAATTAGACTGCGAGTTCCTCAATGTAATGCGAGTGTGTGGAAACTCTTCCCTTGCATGTTTGTCTTTTTTAATTAGACTGTTCCAGATGGTATTTTTTTTAAAAAGCAAATTAATTTTGTTTTTGTTTTTTTAAATGGGCTGGAAAAAGTGATGTGGAGAAATGACTTTTGTAGGTTGCTCATATAATGAGAGCAGTTAAGCTTTCTACATAATGTTCAAACGCCATGCGCCTCACGATCTTTATTTAACACTTTGTCTTTTGTTTTATTGTTCCAACCCCTTTTGGCATCCCCACTCTGAGCAGCCTTCAGTCTTTAATTCAAGCCATCGCATCTGCCCTCATTGAATTCACTTCAGAACTGTTTCTTAATTGTATTTCATTTGGCATCCTTAGACTTTCCGATTTAAAACTGTTCAAGACTGTTGGCGGGGTGCACCAATTATGAGCTTAGACGTGATCTCCTTTTTTCTGCTCTGATGGTTTTAAACCAGTTGGGGAGTTACGTCCAAGAGATTAAATTGATCTGAAAAAAGCAAGTGGAGATTAAGATAAACACTTTGACCAGGACGGTCCAGTGATTTGGAGCCCAGTAACTTCCAGTTGTCATGAGTTATTGTGAGGAAATGTGAAATCCACTTTGCTTTCGTCTAATTAAGTAGGACTCGTCTGTTGGGCACTCAGGCAAAATTTGCATTGATTTCATTTTCATTCAAACTGCAAACAGAACCGTCACTTTGACCACTGCACTAACCTTCTCTTGCAGAAATAGCATTAAATGGCCAAACGGGTAGAGGAATGTGCAGCCCCACACATGACATTGGCTGGAAAATCTGATTTTGGTCACATTATAGTTATATCGTGCAGACAAAAGGCCAATTTGTCCCCACAAAGTAGCTGTTGCGCCATACTGGTATGCTGCCAACCAATGTGTGCTCCATTTTTTTCATTGGAATTCTAAATCTGTCATGGGAACAACATTAAAACCCACAAGTTAGTGTTTCTGGGCCCCAAATTTGCATTTTATGCATCCAATATACAATATTTTATGGTCCCAAATGTAGATTTTTGAGCGTGTTCTATCTATATCGTGACCACGGTTTCATTTTTATTTTCCCATGTCATGTCCAGGGGGCAGCGTACGAGGAGTTTGTGTGAAGTACCACGATATATTAGAAACGTCTTCTAATCAGAGCCCAGTTGAACTGGAGAGCCGCGAAGAGACGAGACACGTGAGAGGAAAGCAGGGAGGGGAGGCTGCTGTTTGACAGGAGGCCGTTCTAAATCCCACACTCATCCATCATAAGTGGCGTTCGCGCACTCTGAAGGCCTCATAATAGCCTTTTGCATTTTGTGCCTTCTGGATTCCATCGGGGGTCGGGTTGGGTGGGGGAAGGAGGGTGAGAACACAAAGGTGCAGAAGAAGGTGGGGGTTTCATTCTTTTTTTTTTTTTTTTTTTTTTTAAACTCACCATCATCCAACTCTCTCCTTCATGGTCTTTTTCCCTTTTTTTGGGGAAAATCACTATCTGAATTGGAAAAGGGACCCTGGGGCCACGAGGCACGGCGCCTGTTTTTTCTTTTTTTTCCTTTTCTTTTGGATAATTGACTCTCTTTGCCTGCTTGCATATAATTCATCAGTAGAAGAGACGCTGATGACCTCACAACCTTGCAACCACACACTTCCTATCTTCTCACACGCATTACTCAATCAAATTTATGCATGCGCAGAGACAAACACACACACACACACACACACACACACACACACACACACACACACACACACACACCTAAAGCAAGGGTTCAGTTTGACCCCCTCCACCTGCCCCAGAGGAGCCAGCAGGCTGGAATGAGAAGAGGGAGCAAGCGGCAAGTTATCGGATGAAAAAGCTGAGATGATAGATGGGGCGCATTGTGGCATTATGAATGAATTAGACCTCCCAAATACCTTGAGCAGTGCAAACTGTCAGCCGGTGTCTTTGCTAATCTGCCAGCAAATAGAGCTGTTTCTACATTAAAAAGGGTCCACGAGGCGAGCGGGCAGAATTAATTGAGCAATCATGCTATTAGAGAGCAACATCATCCTGAGCCCTTTTCCTCGTGTAGCACCATTCATCACTGCCCCCTACACGAATCCGATGCCCCGCTCCCACTTCTTCCCCCTCTTCAAATAGATGAGCATTACTGTGACAAGACACAGGTAGCTTTTGTCTTCTTCCATACTTCATCACGGCTGTCAACATTTTCTTAAGGCCTTCATCTGATACACTCTGTTCTATTTTTGAAACCACCTTTTTTGGGCAAACATACACCGATGAGTTGTGGACTTAATAGGCACCTGTGTTCTTTACCTAGTCTTTCTTTACATGTCGCTTCAGATTTAGTGAAACGTTTATTCGGAGGTGGCAAACGTACTTGCACTTTAACTGCTGTGATGAAGTGAAAATAGAAAATACAGACTTTGGAATGTACTTAAAAGTACACTGGATAAAAATGGTGTATGGAATTCATTCCATTTATTTTGTCAGGTGGCTGCACACAAAAAAAAAAATCATCTGGATTTAGATTTTTTTTTAAATGTAAGTACCGGTAAATGTATAGTCTAGTTAAAAACACAATTTTTCATACACAGTGTTTTTTTTTTTTGATTGGACATGATGTAAATATTAATGAAGGAATAAAATATAACAGTAATATAAAAATGTAATTTGAAACATATCATTACTTTAATCAATCACTTGTTCGTGTCCACAGACTTCAACATGTCTACTTCACTTTTTCTGCTGTAGTGAAACTATTTAAATGATGTACGGTAAGCATTCGACGACACAAACACACCCACGCCCACACACAAACACTCGGACCAGGTCACAAACACGCAGGCATCTAGCACCCCCTGGCGGCGGCAATTGGGATTTTTTTAAGAAAGGTTTTAACGCTACACATATTCCTGATATAAAAGACTCAGTACATCGATAAAGTTATTCAAGAAGAAATTAATTTATTTGTGTTGTTAAATAGATTTCTGAAACATATTTAATCTTACAATAGGGGAGATAATCATTCACGATAGGACCATAAATTATGTTTCATCACATGCACCGCCTGACTTCAATGTTTACTGAAAAGTTAGTACATTTTAGGTTGTTTGAATTTTTTTTTTTCAAAAGGACTGTGGCGAAAAATAAAAATCTCTTGCCTTTGTTCACATATTTACTTACACAAGATGTATCATTTAATCTACCGAAGAGAATGACAACATTATCCTTATGTACATACTATTATGTTACATGTGTCTTTGTTGTCCACGCCTGTTTGGTCTTTACTTCTTTTCAAGGCGTACTTTTGACTTGATAAAGCCACATTTTTCAGACTCCACTGACTCGCGGAGTGACCTGTCTGTTGGCGTCGTCAACACAACTATTCTCTGTAAAAGCAAAAGGGAGAGAGGCACCATTATCCCTTTACATTCTCAAAAAAAAAAAAAAAAATGGAAAGAAGACAAATGTGAAAGCTGCGATGTGTATGACACCTGAGGGATTGATCCTGGTGTTTTTGCGACACTGTAGAGAATCCACAGAGGAACCGAGATAATTGAAGAGAATGCAAGTAGTAGTCCCAGAGTGTATCCCCACCAGGGGTACTCGTACGTGTTATTGTATTTCAGAGGGGTGAATTGGACAAGAAAGAAAATTAATACACCCTGTGGAAGTAAGACATAAGAAAAGCTGTAGTTAATGATTTCGTAATCACTACAGTATGTGATAACAATAACACAAAAGAAAGACATCAAAACGATTTATAATGTGTTTCCCTGCACTGTTGTATCCCATAAACACTGACAGTTATGATATCATTTGTAAAGAAATGACAACAAAGCCGTTTTTGCACTTTTTTTTGCTACTCCAATTCAATGCTCATTGTGCTGCTCCTTCTGGTGCGTGCATGCTGGCCACCTGGGGCCAGTCAAATACAAATACGCTGTATGCATACACTTCACGTGGAAACAGTCTCATCTCCTCTGCAAGCTGCAGTCATATTACTTGTTCTTTGCAGAGGATAAGTAATATATGTGCAACATTTGTACTGCGAGCCAGAGCTAAAAAACAGCCGAACAGTTACAATCTTGAAGAAACTCAGAAGTCAATGTACGTCTGGATTATTATTTTTCAGTCATGTAAGTCAATTGTATTTATGCATCGCAATTCAAGTTAAGGCTCACAAAGCGGTTGATATGGTTAAAATCCCAAAACAGTAGCCTTGCAGAACTGCACCACTGAAAGCTCTTGCTTTTGTTTAGCTTACTTAGTGATGCGTGCGGGGTCAAAATATACAAGCAGACATGCTTGTAGCATGTCTGCAATTGTCATTGGAGGGTCAGAGGACTGAAATACCGGTAATGAGGTTTACTTACAGTGGACATAAAAGGAGTAACAAACTTCCAACAATATTTCATGTAAAGTGACGGTCGATAGCCAATCATATCCTCGATTCGATTGTAATAATTGTCAGCGCCTTGGAGACAGATAAAAGGTTATCAGATGATGTTCTCGATGAAACGTTGTCATATGACTTTTTTTTTGTTTGTGTGTGTCTTCAAAGCTCACCGTATATCCATCCTATGCAAAGTGATTCCAGAAGGGCAATAGCGATCAAGGGGATGCCGCTGCAGGCATAATAGTCGAAAAGCTGAAACACATACAGTCCTCCCTGCGGGCCAGCAAATAAACTGTCAGAAAGTCATCATTTGAAATTGAAAAAATTCACTCGACGTGTATCTAAGACATGTCCAATAAATAGCAAACACAGAAATGTCATGTAAAATATTGGACCACACTCACCTCAGTGACCATACATAGGCCGACGCATAAGCAAATACCACACAGAACCAGCAGCAGTATTTTACGTCGGTGTCCAGTGAAAAAGATGGACGGGTACAAATCTGATATAGATGTGACCAAACCTTCAAGATACACAAACTACACAAAAGATTTTTTTTTTAATTGTGAAATAGGAGTCATCGTTTTGAACCCACGATTGTTTATTGATTCATTCTATTGTTGCGTTATTATGTCTTGGAGAAATGTGCCATAAAGGAAAGTCTTGGTAAAAAAAGCACAATGTAAGGAATTCATTTAACACCTTATTAGTAGCGATGCACCATCCTGTTAAGCTGTACTCTGACCTGAAAATAAATGATCCGATACTAGGACACCAATACTTTCAGATAAACATGGATGGCAACAGTTGGTTAGCCTTAGATTGTGCATGTGTACCTAACGTACTAGCTGGTGAATGTACAGCAGCATAGTAATGTCGTAAAATAGTTTCACCTGACTGTCCAGTCCCAGGAAGATAATCATGATGAAAAAAAAGGCAGCCCAGAGTTGTGGTAAAGGCATCATGGCCACTGCCCGAGGGTAAGCAATGAATGCCAGGCCCGGACCTGCAAGTGACCCGTAGTGGGGATCAATACATGCCATTGAGATAAGTGATGAGAAGCTACATTTATCGTTGTGTGAGGAGCCAAGTGACTACTAGCAATTACGAAGTAGGTCTCACTTCATCGTTGCCAAAGTAATTTAGTTATTGTCACTGATTCCTTGCTTAAGAAGTTACTACAGTGGACATCTTATCATGTTATCAGGTTACATGGTGCCTGCAAGAGTTAAAAAGTAATTTTGCAACTTATAAATATATTCTCAAACAAGTCAGGGAAATTAGGAAAACAGAAATAAGAGTAGCAGTGCGCTCCGCTGTCCACTGCAAACAACAACACAAAGTCACGAACATATTTGTAATATCATTTTTAATCATTAGATTGTCGAGGATGTCCGAAAAGGTCCTACCTGACTCAGCTACTTCCGAGATGTCAATCCCCAGCTCATAAGACATAAAACCAAGTACTGAGAATATGGCAAAGCCAGCAACAAGGCTGGTTGAACTGTTTAGTAAGCACAGGACAAACGTGTCTCTGGAATGAAGAAAGGCACACACTTGTAACATGGAAGAGGGAAATGAGAGGGTGGGTAACAATCGCCAGAATCAGGGTTTCGTACTTGTAGCAGTTGTTACTGTATTTGTTGTAACTTCCCAAAGACGCCAAACAGCCCGTGCAGACAGCGTAGGAGTATAATATCTGGCTGGCTGCATCCATCCACACCTGTGTTTTACAGTGTTGCCATGGTTACCAAGAAAAACTAACATAGTTACTTTGCTGACTACTTGCTTTCAAAAAAATACCGGTAAATGAAATTACGAGTTATTTAAATCGCTACATTTTTAACAGTGACACGACCAAGTCGAAAAGATATTTGTCTTACTTGCGGCTCAGACAGACGTGTGGGATCGGGAGAGATGTAAAATCTAATTCCATCCATGGCCCCAGGCAAGGTCAGTCCACGGACCAGCAAAGCAATCATCATCACATAGGGAAATGTGGCCGTCACATAGACAACCTGGAAGGAGATCACGATCAGCACAGGGGTTTTACTTTTTCCGCGTGCTGTTTTAAAGGGTGTCGTGATTGTTGAGCCGATCACCTTTCCTGAAGACTTAACACCCTTCCAGACGCAGAAGTAACACAAAATCCAGCTGAGCACAAGACACCCAGCCAGGTCCCAGCGAATACTTCCCATTTCTTCAATCCCTCCAGACAAATTCAGGACCCTTCTCCTAAATAAGACAGTTGATTTCTCTCCGAGTCAGTAAGACATGAACCAGTCTCACTGAATGGGCAATGTAGACCAGCGGTCCCCAACCCCCGGGCCGCGGACCGGTACCTTGGCTCATTTGGTACCGGGCCGCACAGAAAGAATACATCATTTACATTACTTCCGTTTTATTCATTTCGAATCTGAATATTTTTTATTTTGAAAAAAATACCGGATTCTCTGTTACATCCGTCTACAATATGTTACTCTTGACGCAGGTGAAGGCACGCTTCTCGGTCACGTGATAGCTTACCTGTAAAATGAAACCCAGAAGCTAGCAAAATGAGTAAAAGAGGGGAAAAGACTCAGTCAGGAGACAGAAGGGGAGCCATTGACTTCCAAGAAAAAATTAGCTACATTTTATAAGACAGAACTGAAAATACGGATTTATCTCAACGGGAGATTCCCACGCACCGAGTCCGCTCCGCATAAATGCAGCGATGGTGAGTTGTATTTTCATGCACTTTGTATGTGCGGTGTGTCGTATTTTGAAGGCACTTTTAAACGTTACCATAGCGACCAGAGAGTGTTGCGGCCAGATAGGACGTTCCTCGTGTCACGATTCGTGTTTATTATGATTTTTAAAAATACCACCGTTTTCATGCCGGTCATAACATATTATTTTGTTGTATTTATGCGGCCGGTCCCTGAAAATATTGTATGACATTAAACCGGTCCGTGAGGCAAAAAAAAGGTTGGGGACCGCTGATGTAGACAGTCAAAGAATACATACTGCCAGAATTCTTCGACAGAAGACGTTGCATTCGCAGAGGTGTTATTTTTTGAAAGGCTGTTACGATAATCAACACAGTCCCCTTGAAAGGAAAATGGTGGAATTAGTCGTTTTATTGTTCGAACACTTTCATTTTTGTTTTTTTTTCTTTTCATTGACAGTACGTATTCATTGCTTCTTTTACAGACCCTCGGGAATGACTACTCTGGGTAGGTGCAAATGTCTTCACGTCATTGCAAGTGCTCTGTTGATTTTGCTCGCTATCCTACGCAACTTTGTCCAAGGGTCTGTGAGTACAATGTACCTGTGTTCCAAGTATTGTTGCAGCTAGCCCAGGGGAGTTCAGAATGGAAGGACGAAAAGAAGTAGAAGAAGCCCCATGCCAGGATGACAACGTAATACATCACCGTGAGCAGCATGATCATTAAACTGCCATACCCAATACCTGTAAACATTAAAAGAATGCAAATGTCAAAACAGAATTCTTCTGACGTCTGCCTCTGTGTTTAATGTATGACACGAGCGCAGTTGACCTTCAAGTAAAGGGCAAATTTTCCTCCAGCACGTGATTCCACCTTGACCGGTTAACTGTCCCAAAGACAACTCGATGAAGAAGGTGGGGATACCACACGTCACCAGGAACACCAGGTATGGGACCAGGAAGGCTCCTATTAGGAGACAACTGGGTGACAATTGCAGTGTGACTTGGATTACAACATTCAGGTGCGTTGGATCCTCTTACCGCCTCCATTCTTGAAGCAGAGATAGGGAAATCTCCAGACGTTCCCCAGACCGATAATTTCTCCAACCACTGCTAGAATAAACTCTCTCTTGTTGGCCCACTTGCCTCTCTTGATCAACAGAAGATCATTTGGATCGTGGTCACTTTTCAGTGGATTTACTTCTGGACTATTGGTTGGCTCCATTTGGACCTGTTCTTAAGAATGGAATCATCATGTAATGGACTTTAGGAGTTGAAGAAAAAAAAAAAACGCCGGTAATTGACCATGCCACCAAAGAGTAAGGGAACCCAGATTATGAAACGGTGAGCTGTGTTGTCCTACTTCCCCCTTCGGGAGGGGGGGGTAAATGTCTCACACACGTCCCATTATTCACTCCAATCACCGTAAGTGCTTCACCCGTATCTATAGTTTGTTCCAAAGGTCCCTCACCCACTGCCATTGTCGTCTCCATCTTAAGACGAGTACACTCAACTCGAATTGGAACACAGAACTAGTAGATTGAAAAATTGGTCCAACCTCCAAGGCACTAAAAAAAAAAAAAATCCAAGTGGCCAAACCGTACGAAACACGTTTTTGCTTTGACACAGATGCCACGCTCCAGTCATTCTATAGGACCTCACCAATTTCTAGATTCTACTGCTATTGGGATCACCTGTCCCAAGAGCCCTTCAAACTACAAGCGCTATCCCACCCTTGCCACGGATATCTGAGGAGTGGTTCCCTCGGCCGGGGTTTTGAACCTTGGTCTTGGTTGACAAATCAGAGCCGAGCATGTATAACCAGATCCAAAACATTAAAGTTGTATCGTAATTCTACCTCAACAAGGTCATGATTGTAGTTTGCGATTTATACGAAGGAATCCCTCTCAGAGCCCAACATAATCGTTTTTTTAAATTCCCCATGAACCATTTTAACCCGATGGTTTATTCATTGACTGTATGCTTTGCAGTACCAAAGGCACTGTCGAGAGCTTTTAATTATTTCCCCTTAACTAAATAAATATGACGCTGCGTGACAGTAGGTTGAATGTTTCACGGGCTTACAATCAAAACACAAAACAAAAACTCCCAATATGTGAACTACTAAATCCGTTATGACAATCCATTGCAGCGTTTGGTTTAACTTGAATTGCTTTGAACGACATTTAATGGTAGAGAATGAATTTCAGCAGAAATGACCAGATAGTGTTTTTAGCTAAACTCAAGTGAGAAACATCAAACATGCAATGATTTCATTGTCCAGAATAGTGTGACATCAGCATGAATTGTGACTAACATGTAAGTGTACCTGAGCGGCGTTGCTTGGATCCAGTTGTAGTTCTTTCCGAGGACGTCGTAGCCTTGTAACAGATTGTAAAATGCCAGTGATGCTTTGCTAGACGCCCTCGTAGTATGTTGGACCAATAGAAAAAGAGTGATATGACCTCTGTTACTCAGTGCAGATTGTTCACTTTTCTTCTTTTTTTTCCCCCCCCCATTTGCCAAGTCATATCTGGAAAGCCTAGTTTGAGATACGCTACTTTGATCGCTACTCAATCATCAAACTATACCCAATAAAAAGCAGTTGTTGTAAATATGTACTATATACTATTTTTCAACATGAACGTTTTCTGGTCACTTTCTCTCTCTGTCCTGAAACATTATGGTGTCCTTTTCACCCATTTTCATTTGATAAAATTGTGGCCAAAGCCTGAATTAGATCAAATACCAGAGTTGTTTCAAAAGCTAGCTTTTAAACAGCGAAATTAGCTTAATTTCCGTTTATTGCTCTGGGTAGAAAAACAAGAGCCCTTCTTCACTTGTTTTCCTTCTTCAGGTAAACCTTCGAGTACGTCTTGAGTAATAACCTTGGTAATTGTTTCACCAGTGAATACACAACACATTTCGACATTTGAGTACAATACTAGGAATTGTGTCAGGTTGCACTTAGCGCGTAAGCAGCACCATGTTAGCCATGTAGTCTTCTTTTCTCAAAATATTTACTCATTACATTGTATTCTATGTTAATGATCAAACTGTTCATGGTATTACAGTGACTTGCAATATTATTATACTTTTCTGTCTCGTTTTTGATTAACACACTCCGATTACTACTTTTTTTTAATGTTGCTCATGATGCTGGTCCTTGGTGAGGTATTTTTAGGTGGTACTTGGTATCAAAACGTTTGAGAACCACTGCTGTATTGTGTATAAAATTGTACTATGATTTACTTCACAACAATACCAAATCACTTTGTTATGTATCGAAATTGTCTTCATTGTAATTCCATCTTGGCTGCAGCCTTTGCCAGGTGATGCTTGGGATTTTATTTTACACGTTTAAGACTATGGTCTTAAACGTGTTAAACAAATAAATGCATTGTTTACATTTAAATGTAAGGGAAACACCAAATCAAAAGATTGCAGATTAGTCCCCTAAATAAATAAAGAGTGTTGTGTATGACTTATCTATTTCAACATATGTACACAATGGAAAATATGGATTACTGGCCAGTCTGACGCATTGAACGCGCTTTCATTTTGTGAATGTGATATTTTAATGTGGCCGGCATGGTGGCCAACTGGTTGACATGCCCGCCTCACAGTGCAGAGGTGCAGGGTTCAGGGTCTGGACTTCCTGTGTTGAGTTTGCATGTTCTCCCTGTGCCTGCATGGGTTTTCTCTGGGTGCTCTGGTTTTCTCCCATATTCCAAAAACATGCATCGCAGGTTATGGAGCACTCTAAATTGTCCTTAGGTGTGATCTTGAGCATGAATGATTGTTCGTCTGTGTGTGCCCTGCGATTGGCTGGCAATCAGTTCAGGGAGTACCCGGCCTACTGCCCGAAAGCAGCTAGGATAGATTCCAACACGCCCACCACCCTTCTGACGATAAGTGTACTGTATTAGAATATGGCTGAATGGGTAGATACGCGTATTTTAATGTACCACAAGAGGACAGCAAAATATCCAATAACATCCATGTCTATAGCTCATATTTAAAAAATTTTTTTAATGAATCTTTATTCGAACAAGTCATGGTACAATTCTCAATAAACAGAAAACAAAATGAACATGTTATTAATAGATATACATATTACAAACATTTAAACAAAAAAGAAGCCAGGGGATTTTAAACAAAAATTTCAAATAAGGAGCATATAGCCAGAGTCTTAACAGCTTTCTTGTTTTTAGAATCCATAATAGAACTCAGGTACTGCTTTATTTCTGTTTCAAAAATTAAGAAAAGAGGTTTTAAATTACTCCATCTGGATTTGTGGATATGGAACTTAGCGAGAATGATTATTAAATTTATAATGAAGGTTTGTTTAGTGTTTTTTTCCTTACTTTTGTAGAACCCAAACAGTACATTTTTCCAGTATAGCATAAAGTCAGAGTCAATACGTTCAATAATAAATCTGGATACAGCTTTCCAAAATGTGTTAGTATACGGGCATTGCTCTATCGCTCATAATCCTGGAAATTCTTAGAGGTGATGTCGTCAAAGTACAATATTAATCTATAAAGTACCCAGCATACCACAATTTTTGTCATTTGATGATTTTTGGAAATCTATTCACCTTGAAGTGTCGGTACGAAGCAGCATATCTCCTAGGAAATGGGTATGTAATTTAAACGAAGTAATTTATATAAACGGCCATGATTTTGTCCCCATTTTGCCAGTTTACATTTCTGTCTTAAAATAAATAAATTAATAAATAAATAAAAATAAGTTAAAAAAAAAAAGAAGACAATGACAGTGACTGTTTTTGATAGATGAAAGGATCAAAGGTCTTTGGATCATGTGACCGTCGGTGTCGCGCCAGTCTTTTCGATCTCACGCGCGCTTCCGGGTGGTTTTGACGTCAACTAGAAGCCGCCCAATCAGGTAGCTTCCTTTCCTCGGCCAGCGTCCCGTTGCTATGCGGTTGCCACTGGCTGGAAGTTGGACTCTTCTCTCATGGGATTCTGAATAACGCCTCATGTCGTTGGCAGCAAGCTGGCTTCGCATTACCTCCTGTCTTTTCCATCGGTGTCTTTCACTCAAGCAAGTGAGTAAAACTGAGTTTTTAATAGATTCATAAACGTACATGCGTTAAAATGTTGTGATATATTGGAAAGTTGGAAAGGGTTGCCCTGAGATGGTTGGGAAGAAGGAAGGATTGGGGTTTAAAAACAAAACAAAAAACGTTCACCACACAAGTCGTGGCTACGTTTAAAAAATGGAATGAGCCTATTCACATGATTAAATTATTTTGTTCTGGATAGGTGTCAACAGTACTCACTCCCAAATAAATTCATTAACTAACACTACTAACGTTGTGACCAGACAAACAACAAAATGCTACATTAGCCAGATATAACTAAAAAAAAAGACACTTTTCGTGTACAGTACAGTCTGTATTTGTCAGATTAGACAGAGAATCTTTGAAGGCCAGAAAATGGTGGTTTGCAGGCTGTCACAAGATACAACCTGAACCTCAGAACTGTGAGGCACACATGCTAGCCACTTGTCTCCAGGGTTTATACGAGTGAATTAAACTACGAGACAATTTAAAGTCCTCAATGCACCTTTTTTGGAATGTCGAGGAAAGCAAGAACTTGAAAAAATTTAGCCAGAGCCTGAATTCGATCCCAGTATCAGCGGCGGTTGTGTTAACCACTTGGAATAGCAAAAAAAAATTAAATGTAAACGAAATAATTACTTCATTAAGTTTTCAGTGAAAAAAGTATGTAAGTACTGCACGATGTAATGGGTACAGTTTGTTTTTTTTAATCAGCGCAAACGTCACATACCCAAAAAATATAAAAAGCTAATATGCTGCTTCATGTACTGCCCGTCAATGTCTCAAACAAAAAAAAATAATACATCTCATAAAATTCATAAATGAAGCCAAATTTAGCAATAAGAAATGGTCTTAAATGAACTCTCTATGTTCACACTTTTGAAACAGTGCAACAAGTTTCCCACGCAGAGATTGTTCTATGAAGCTAAAAATACACGCAGCAAGCGGATGGCAGCTCAATGCAATGAAGTAAAAGCAGCATCCCAATTCCTCTTACAAGTACAATTTATTTAAAAAGTTACTTAAGGAAATGTCACGATTATAAATGGAGCGTGTTGAGGCGCGAGACAAAAATTAGTTTGGCACCCTTACAGAAAGAACAGATATTGTTTTGAAATGTACACAACTCTTAGCTCAGTTTAAAAAAAATGAAACATTCACAACAAAGTGCTGTACATAAATACAATGGAATATAAACCAGAAATCATAATAATAACAAAAGAATCCATAAAATACAACAAATAATCATTGCACAGTAAAATATCAATTGATACAAAAACCGAAACGGGAAGTAAATGTGTTTAAAGAGCAAAAGTGATGATCTACATAATGCTAACATTAGCCAAAGTACCAAATGTCCTTGTCGCTAAATATACATTGTCTGCTTGGAGTTTTTGTGTGAGAGCTGGGCTAATATGCATTTTTAACTGCATAGCATCTACACTTGTAGATTGGACATGTACTGTAGTTCAATGGAAAATGGCAACATTTTGGGGTGAAAAGTTTAAAAGGCGCCTGATGGTGAAATTGACTCGATGGCGGCCGCCTGCTGTTCCACCAGCGGCCTGTAGGTGGCGTCAAACCAGCAAACGCACGATTCGATTTTTTTTTTCTTTTTGGAGGGAAGTGGGTCGTGGGAAACCGCTTATTCACTTTTTATCAGCGTTTTTTCCCCCTCATTTTTTTGAGGGGGGGCGGTAAGAAAAAGTAACTTTTTTTCCCCTCTGTGTATTCATCATGAGCGTCCCTGGGTCCACTGTAATGTAAAAAAAAAAAGTTATTCCAAAAATAAATGCGATCACCTCACACCAAGACAGAAGAAACCCAGTAAAGTTCCTCAAGTACAATATTTGCATTTCGTTAACTTCCCATCGCCGTTGTTCTCTCTTTGGTCAACCGCTGCAGTTGAACCAGGAGTCCAGTTTGAGAGTGGACCGCCTTCCGTGCAATCTCACTGGAGCGTCGTCCGAGGAATTAGCATAGAGCCAATCATGTCAGCTATGCAAATCGACTCCAATGCCTACCATTGTCCTCGGTTGCTCTTATGTGAAGTTGCTAGATTGGACGCTTCATTTGCACTCGAAGCAAAGGACTCTCGACATCCGCGTAATAGACGAGAGGAGAAGCAACCAGAAATTCGCTTGAAATTGGATTTAGGATTGCATGTACAACATGACATTTGAGGAAATAAGTGGGGATAACTCTCAAGAAAGGTAGGAATTTGCACCGCTGTTTCCTTGACGAGTTTTAATATATTTATGTATATATATAATTTTTTTTGCGGTGATGCATGGATCGTTGTCGTCCGGCCGGTCTGTTGCGTGTGCAGACTCGACGAATATGTAAATGAAGCTGCAACAAAAAAAAGAAAAAAACGATATCAAAGTGATCTGTAAGCCCCCGCTGTACTTTATTACCTCAAACGACGCTGCAAACGGCTTGAAAGTGAGCAACCGGCTGTGCATAAATCCACGTTGAAAAAGTGTTCGCATCTGCCTCTTGCGTTTGCAGTCGTTGGCCAAAAGACGTTCAAAGACATAAAAAAGATGATTTTTTTGAAAGAGCCCCACTTTGCATCGGCCGTAAAGTACAACTTTCATGTGCCTTTTTGGTCATGAGTTAATTTTTTTCTTCCCACCCCCTCTTGGGCACTGCGCTGCAGAATGGACTCGGTGGCGAAAGCGTTAGAAGATGTCCTGACCAGAGCCTTACCGCAGGGCTGCATAACTGTGGGCGTCTACGAGGCAGCAAAGTCCCTCAATGTGTAAGTACAGCTTGACAAAGTCCAATTCAACGTTTCATGCATATCGTTTTGATTAGATTGGTTTTTAACTCGACTATATCGTACGCCCGGGGACCACCTTTGTTATCAACAATGCTCTATTGTCATCTTTTCCTCCCCAGGGACCCCGACAATGTGGTCTTGTGCATCTTGGCGGCCGATGACGAAGATGTGAAAGACGTGGCCCTGCAGATCCACTTCACGCTCATCCAGGCTTTCTGCTGCGAGAATGACATCAACATCCTGAGAGTGAACAACACCCGGCGCCTGGCTCAAATTCTGGCGGCGGGTGGAGGAGGAGGCGGAGGAGGAGGAGGAGGAAAGCAAAGTGGGGGCGAGCCTGTGGACCTGCACTGTGTGCTTGTCACTGTAAGTACGCGCTGTGATACGCCTGTTCCTGCACTCAAGTCCATTTTTCTTTGACATGGTTATGCGTTTCTCGGACGTGTACTTGCTGTACCTCAAAATATTCTCATTCATCCAGGTTATTTCAGTCTCGGGGTAGTAAATCGATCGTAACCGGACAGTTCTGTATGTATCAGTTCTGA